CACAGCCAACTTTTTAAGTAAGCAGTTCGACGAAAACAACCAGAAAGAGGCTATGGGCATCGTCGACAGCATGAAAAATGACCTAGCTATCTTCATGGACCCTGACGAGGAACACAAGGCGGAAGAGAAGCTTAAAAACATTGTCGACAAAGCGGTCAAGCTGAACAACTACTTCCTCAAGTCGAGGGCATTCTTCGTGACAGACTGGGACATCGAGGAAGAGAGTGATGACTTTGACGACCTCATTATTCGCCACAGGAGTGGCATCCAGGGCGGGAAGCCAGTCGTTGGGATTCAGATCACGCCCAGACTCAGCAAGATTGGCAATGCCGATGGCGAATTCTTCGGCTCGACTGCTATGGTCATTTATAAACCAATTGTCACACTGGACTATGAATAATGGTTGCAAGCCTGTATTCGAGAATATCATGTCGTTGCCAGCCGGGATGAGGTCGTCCGTTGCCAGGCTACGTATGAAGATGTCGGTAAGAATTTTGGAGCAAGTCTAAGCCCAGGTCAGAGGTCGGGCTTCAGGAGTATGTCCAGCATATGATCTGGAGAAACTGTATTGTGTGTATCGCAAGGAATCATCACTTGCGGCTGATCAAGGATGTGTCCATGGGCTGGGAGATTCTCGCTATATTCGAATGGTGGAGGCAATACAATCAAGGACTCCATTTAGCGCATGAGAGAATAAATTCTGTCAAAATAGTTGTCTTTTTCTATCGAGGTGATCGCGGATGTTACATTGCGGTTGATCTGATAAGTTAAGAGCTGATCTGAGGTTGAGCTTGTAAAGTGGGTTGTAGCAACATCATGGATGCCTCAGGCTCTATACGTATTGGACACCGCTCAATCCAAGGGTCTATTCCACTCCTCCTCGTCTTGGCAGCATCAACACGATCGATTTTCTATCGACTAAAAGATCAGGCTCCTTTCCTTGTATTTCCCTTCCCTAAAGTACCTTTTTAATACCTAAATGATCCCGCATTGACAAAGGAACCCAATCCAAAGGTAAACCCCTCTTCCATGATGAAACTCCTCAGCTAACCTCAACCTACAACTACAGCTCTATATCTAATCATGCCTGCTATCGAACAAGATGCGCCCGCGACCATCGCGCCCCAAAAGTCAACTCCGACTTTCGACCCTAAGGATGTGACCGTCATCTTCGTTCTCGGCGGTCCTGGCGCTGGTAAGGGCACTCAGTGCTCCAAGCTTGTCTCAGACCACGGCTTCTGTCACTTGTCAGCTGGTGATCTTTTGCGCGCCGAGCAGGAAAGACCCGGTTCACAATATGGAGACCTCATCAAGGATTATATTCGAAACGGCCTCATTGTTCCCATGGAGGTGACTATTGCTCTCCTCGAGAACGCCATGGCCGCCGACCTCAAGGCAAAGGATTCGCAAAAGGGGCGCTTCCTCATTGACGGCTTCCCCCGCAAGATGGACCAGGCCGTCAAGTTTGAAGAGACTGTCTGCCCCGCCAAGCTTGTTCTTTTCTTCGACTGCCCGGAGGATGTCATGGAGTCTCGTCTTCTCGAGCGTGGAAAGACCAGTGGTCGTGACGATGACAATGCCGAGAGTATCCGCAAGCGTTTCCGTACTTTCATCGAGACCAGCATGCCTGTCGTCAACCGTTTTGAGGAGGTTGGCAAGGTTCTCAAGCTCGATGCTACCCCTCCTCCTGACGAGGTCTATGCCAATACTGAAAAGGCCCTTGCTGAGAGGTTGGGCCCTGACTTTTAGCGATAAAGCGGTATAAATTGGAATTGCATACACTTGGGAGGAGCTGTGCCGGAGTCGGGCTGTATAGAAATAAATTCACTAATCCATGTTGCTAAGCCTATGAAACATGAACACTTTGCGTCTCGGACTATAATAGAATACTCTTGAATATCTATGCCGGGTCCAGTCGACGTGTAGTTTATACTGATTGGCAGTCACCGGTGTAATCTAAGCCTACACGACGAATATACTTTTAACAGATGTTTTCGTTTGGGAGGCCACACGAGAACTAATCTGATACTATTAACCAATCACTAAAAGGGTATATCTAACTACATTACCAAAGCTCAAAGCTTCTTACATCATCATAACCATAACCTTGCCACGTCTAACCTGACACTTAACACGATCAGTTGTCATCATACATCTTCATCAAACCAGCCTTGATATTCGTCATCTGACTCCTGTGCATTCGTTCGCGGTTCTCGAGTGCAGTAATGCGCTCTTGCATGGTAGCAATTTTGTCATCCTTGATCTTGAGGCTTGACCGCGCAGAGTCACGGCCGAGAACAATGCCCTTGGTGCGACGTGCTGCAGCTTCCAGGATACTCTGTACAGATGACAAAACGCCATTGTCAATTTGTTGGCCTCTCAAAAGATTCATAACTTCGTCCGTCACATCGTAGCTCGTCTCCGGAGGGCTACTTGTAGGAGGTCCTTGCGTTCCACATGGAGTCTTTGAAGGTGTCGTGGTGGCCGACAGAGTCGTAGATGACATGGAGGGAGTATCTTCAAAGGATACTTGCTTCTGTCTCTTGAATTCGCTGGTGGGAAACAGCGTACGCGATACAGAAGGAGTTGGCATCCCTGAGAATGAGCGGGTAGTGGTGGGAGTGGTAAAACGGCTCTGGGCGGCCTTCTCGGCGCTCTTGTCCGCAATGGCAGCCATCTGCCGCTCTTCATCCGAGGCAATATCGCTGAACTCGTCCTCATCTTGCTCAAAAACGTCGCGCCGTCTCTTGGTAGGTCCTCGGGTGGGTGTCTCAACAGCTGCAGTAGGCGGAGAGGGCAGCTTTGAATGGTCGGCAATCTGTGCTTGGTTTCTGATCGATTTGGGCATTGGAGTATCAGCTTCTGAATCCTCGCCGGATTCTGTGCTGTCAGCAGAATTATCGTCGCTCTGACGCCGACTCGGAGTCACTTGGTAGCCATACGACACAAGTGATTGCTGTGTCATGGGTGGAGGTTCAGATTTGGAGGATTCGCTACCTCTTCGGGAACCCCTCAGCCCGGACTCGCGTACCTTGGCTTCGTCCCTCCAGAGGAAGAAATTGCAATCATCGCACTTCCAGAAAAGTTTGCCGTTGTTCGGTCCAGACTTCTTCACCTCACGGAGTGTGGCTTTCTGGCGGGGTTCACAGTTACCTTGAGAGATGTCAGAGTTCAGATAAATTATGAGGCGGGAAAAGTTGTCACTTACACCACCAGTGTCCATCGCTATAACGGCCCTTGGGCATGCGCTTCTTCTGCGACCGCGGCGTCTGAGGGTCTCTTCGACTCTTCGACCTTGGTGTTGACACCATGATGACGGTGGAGTTGGCGTAGCAACTAGACTAGATCTGTAGACGGGGTGAAAATGAGACGGCACGACAACCACAATGATGATTTCGTTTCGTCTTCAAAAAGTCAAATGATGTCAATGAGAATACGCTCTGCGCCAAAGCGGGAGCTACCGTTGAAGTATGTGTACCGTACAAGTATCCGTAGTCGTACCTTATGAGCTCATGCGGGGTGCAAATGCAAGCGCTTAACATTGAGACAGAGCTGAGGCGAATCGTAATGTGAGAGGCTGGTTTGAGAAGGCGACCGGCATTTGAACCAACCACCAACCACCTCGTTGCATAGTAGCTGAGCAATGCTTCTGCTCATTCCCAGCAATTTCATAAGTATATATAATCTTGGTTCATCCAAAAGGCTTAGTAGTACTTTGATTTGTACTCATTTGAAATGAACCTGAACCAAGTCGGGATATTTGACTGGGCTTGGTCCCTTGTTCGAACAGTCCTAACACTGGCAGTCTGGCCTAGTCACCATGGATGAAGACTATATGGGATCGACCGTTAGTTCTTAATGATGAGCTCATCACAACGGATTGAAAATCATAGTCTGTCTTTATCTGCTGATGCTAGGTAATCCACCTAGAAGTACTACCGTTTCTCAACCTACCGTAGGTGCTATGAGAAGGGTCACGTGATTACTCATGTCTAATCCTCGCCTGATTTTGCTATACGATCTCATACCTCAATATGGTCCCACCTGAACTCATCACTACAGACTTCAGTTCGTCGATTGCTTAACCCATCCGACTCTCAACGGAATATACCTAGACTGGAATTACACATCAGTCTGAAGAAGCCAGGTCTTGGTCGCATTCAATGGCTTCTCGCATGTCCTTCCAGTCCGGGCGCTTTGTGGCTTCGGCCTCAAGACTTAGTCCTTTCACATCCTCTTCTCTGGCTTCTCGAAGCAGCCGTTTCTATTCTTCACAACCGCCAAAGCCCCGTCGTAATGACGAGGTCAAGTTCTGGCCTTTCGTGGTCGTAATTCTGGTGGGAACTGGAGGCTATGTTGCCCTTGTCAATCGACGCAATGGTAAGCTACGATTATTTGTGTGCCCATTCTCAGTATTTACTCTCCAAGGATTGTGCAATGATAGTGCCATTCCTGCCATGAAAACTTTGTCTACTCTAATTTACGTTGCATTGTGATGCTGCTCACGGATTCATTGACTGTGAAGATATCACTAACTGTTTCATAGGACGGATACACAACCCAGACCCTCACAAAAAGTTCACGTCATCATTCTAATGCCTCCGTTCTGTTGTTTGAAAAAGGCCACGGCAGTCAATAACACATGTACAATATAATAACAAAACGCCCCTTACACGCCTCCTTCACACAAGACTCGCTCTGTGTTTAACATGCATTCAATTTTTGTTCTATTTTGAAGAAGAGTGCCATGACACCATCTTCGCCTAAATGCTGGGAAGGTAGAAGACCAATATGCTCATGAAACCGGCTACGCCATTCGCATTAGCAATCCTTCGTTCGCTGGATTCCCTCTCTCATATGCCCAACGATGTATTAACACAAAGCAGGTATAACAATGTCCCCTATTCCCAGAAAAAAAGCCCCCTCATTTTTCTTCCCCACGACTGCTCTAGTCTTGTTTTTAGTCATGTCCTGGCATATCCTTCTCTGCTTTGCCTCGTCTAGTCGTCATCTTCTGTCCTCTCCCGGGGCTCCCTAGGTTCGCGGGGTTCACGGGGCTCTCGAGGTTCGCGAGGCTCCCGGTTTTGGTTCTGTCGGCGTCTACCACCATCTTGGTTTCCGCTAACGCCGGCGTTGGCGACCTTGCGCTCCAACTCTTGGATCTCGCGCTCCTTCTGTGCCTTGGCGTTGGCTTGCTCCTGGCGCAAAACGCCCAGAACGTTCTGCAGGGTTGCCCTCCAGTGGTCAACCCGGTTGGCCAGCTCCTGGTACTGCTTCTGGCCAAAGACGCGGTATGTAACCTTGTGAACAAGGAATTTCTGGCGTTGCTGGGAAAGCTTGCCTTCAACAAGTCCGGCACGGATCACGTCAATGGCCCACATCTCAATCTCGGTCTCGGGAATCTGGAGAGCCTTGGTAATCTTGGAGTACTCGATCTCGCGGCTAGGGGTGGAGGCAGCCAAGCTGGAGAAAGTCAGGAGGCGCATCTTGCGGTGAAGCTTCTCGTGGTCGAGCTTCTCCTTCTCAGCCCAACCCTGGTGCTCGTCGTTGAAGTCGTTGTAATCCTCCAGGTCCTGCTCAGCAAAGATATCGAGGAGTTGCGAGTAGACAGGGTGTGAGTCGCTTAGGGCCTGGACGCTTGGAATTCCCCGCAGGTCTTGAAACAGGAAGTGGTTATTGGAAGTGAGTGCCTTCTTGACGGCACGAAGAGATAGTCGCTGGGCCTCCTCGGAGGAAATGGCATCGCCGTCGAATGTTCGGAGAGCCTTGACGACGTACTCGTAGGCTTGTCTGTCAGATGTTTAGCAGGTTGTTCAGCAGTTGAACCATACAGGTGCGATAAGTGTCTGCAGACATTCCCAGGAATGGTTCCAGGCTAAATCCCACGTCGCCAGCAGAAACACTCGCGCACACTGTACACATTATAGAACAACTTACTGCTCCTCGCCAGCCTCAATGGCAACCTCGGCGACCTCCTCATAAATCTTTCGCTGGAAATCGGCGTCGGTGCCCCAGGTAGCAAGCCATTCGGGTAGCTTATCGAGATATGTGCGCAGACTCTCAAACATGCCGTGGGCTCTCAGGAACTTGAGGATTTCCATGAAGACGCGGGCGCGGACGGGGTCGGCGGGGTCGAGCAGGTTAAAGACAGTGGTCAGGGCGTTGAGTGACAGGCCGGCGCCATGGACGGGAGAGTTGAGGAGAGGCTTGGCAAAAGTAGTGCAGAGAGTTGGCAAGAACTTCTTGGGGTCGGAGGACATCAGGACAAGATGGGTCATGAGGTTAGAAGCGGCGGTATACTCCTTCTCGGGGACAGTGTTGAGGGCTCCAGAGGCCGAGACTAGTTTGGAAATGACCTCCTCTTGAGAAGGGGGCTTCTCCTGGCTCAGAAGCTGCTTGGCATCCTCAGCCTTAAGGTAGTCGGCCATCTCGGCAGCGAGGTCCTCGAAAGATCCATCGACAAAGACCAGAGTGGGCTGGCCGACAGTCTTGGTTTCGGCCATGTTTGCTGCCTTTGACTCCCTCTCGGGAATGGTAGTAGTTCGATATAGAGATTTCGGTCGCGGTGATGATGGTCGAGTGACTCGTTCCGGCTTGGGCGGTGCGGACGAGGATAGAGCAACGGGAAAAGAAGCGAACTCCGGGGACGCGCGGGGGGACGATCTCGAGGCGTTTGTAAGGTCGACAAGCGGATAAATGTGAAGTTTCTCGTCCCAGACGAATAGCCCTCTCTGGTGGGGCCTTGAGAACCCCGCCAGATAGGTTTTCTCCAACCTGTATGTGTGGGCGCTAAGCGATAAGTCACGTGGAGATAAGAAACACCTTGGTGTAAGTTGAATGTGATTGAAGGGTGCATCAGTCTCAGCTCTCGACAATTTTATCTTGAACAAGCCTTGTAGCTATGGTCAATTCAAACTATTCAGGGTTTCCATACTCTCCTGATTCGACTTCCAGCTGTTGCATGCTTGGCATATTTGGATTGTTATCTCAACCTGTAATCGTGGTTCTAGTTTGTTGCTTTCCAGGAGGACCAAGACAGGAATAAGAGAAGAAATTGAAAATAATCTGTACCCGGAAAAGCCTTTCGATTCTCAGACCTTGATAATCCTGCCACAGTACATATCTTTGACTACTTTAGTCTCGCAATTCTGTTGTAAGACCAGGAAAGTCGTGCTGCCATGTCTTCCACTTAGCCATCTCTCAAGTCAGGTGTGTAACACTTCACAATATAGAAGTGCTGCTTGAAGCTCTTTCAGCAGGCATTAAAAAACAATCAAGACTTTTCGTACGCTTTCAAGTTACTACTGGCTGATGAGCAGCCCTTCTCAATATATCCGTCCCCTTTCCTCCGTGATTCCAGCTGTATGCAAGCGAAGAAACAAACTAGAAACAACAACATCCAATACAAGACACCAGATGATCCCATGTACCGTCTCTATAGAGATACTCCTTCAAACATCCAATATCGGATACCAACTCAATGAGAGTAACACCAGAACAAAGCCAAATACTCCCTGATCCCGCATACTCAACTCTAACATTCCAAACCCACTGATTTATCGCTTGGCCTTGTTCGCCTTGATCTTCTCGCCATTATCACCTATTGGGTAAATGCTCGAATCATCGTCTGCGAATAATTCTTGGTCGCCCTTACCTCCCATCTCAATAAATTCGTCTGGTGCCCGTTGAGCGGCAGGGTCAGACTCCTTTGCAACATTGGTAACGCGACCTTTGTTCTTTGAAAACACCTTCACAGGGTTCTTGTCCTTGCCAACTTCAAGCTGAGCAGTGACCTGCACAGTGTTGAGAGAGGCCAGCAAGGTTCGCTCACGAGCAGGGGCTCTTCGGTTGACCTCCAGACCTGCAATGCCTCCGACGAGACCACCAGTGCTGTCATTAACACCCGGGCTACTCTGTGTGAGCCACGGATGTTGCAGGCACTGGTCAATCGTGAATCTCTTCTCGGGATCAACGATCAACATAGAGTCAATGAGGTCGACTGTGCATTGTTAGCAGCTGTATAACAGCCTCAGTATGATATTCACTTACGTGCTGGGTCTCCGACGGAGTCCCAATAAGGGGAAGGGTAGTCAAAACGGCCACTCTTAATCTGCTGGGAGAGGGTGAAGGGGAAGTCGCGCGAGTAAAGCTCATCGGAGAAAGGCGGGAAACCACACAAGCAAATGTAAAGCACAACTCCCAAAGACCAGACATCAACTGCCTTTGTGTACTTGCGCTGCTTGGAGTCTGCGAGGATCTCAGGCGCAACATAGCTGGGCGTCCCACATAGTGTAGTTGTGAAAGACTCCTCTCCAATAATTTTGGCCAGGCCAAAGTCAGCAAGCTTTACATGCAGATTCTTATCGACTAGCAGAATATTTTCAGGCTTGATATCTCGGTGCACAATGTTACGTTCGTGCTGAACAGACACGGTTAGTCCTGGAGCGTCCTTGTAGAACGTGCAAGGGGAATGCCATGGCTTACCAAGTACTTGATGCCCTGGAAGAGCTGCACAAATAACTTCCTTGACTCATCTTCGCTCAGCTTCTGCTTCATCACGATGTAGTTGAAAAGTTCTCCCTCTGGTGCTAACTCGAGCACCAAGTATACGCGATCACGTTCGTTAAAGGTGTCCTTTAGGCAGAGAACGTTTGGGTGACTAACCCCCATCAATACACCGATTTCCTGCTGCAAGCCCTCCGTCTTTGAGCGATCCTCCACGCCAGGGTGCTTCGTGAAAATCTTGACTGCAAAGCGCTGACCAGTGGCCTTCTCAACGCATAGATAAACCTCGGCAAAATGACCCTTTCCAAGCTTCTCTAAAAGAGTGTACTGTTGGAGAAAAGCGCTTGTCTGTCGACTCTGGGGGTAGCGGAAGACAAAACGCGCCTTGCCGTGGACAGCAATCTCATCTTGCTCCTCAAGTTCGCGGCGCTGATTTCGGCCCACGATGGCTTCGTTGACGTACGTCCCGTTGCTCGACAGATCCTCAACAATTGCGACAGTATCGTTACCTTTATTTTCGGTGAAAATAAGGCAATGGCGGTTCGACACAATACCGTCGTTAACAACAATGTCTGTTGGTAAGTTAGCTGTTGCCATCAACGGACGCCAGATCTTTCTAAAACTAACCACACTCGGGATGTCGTCCAATCAGATAGCCACCAGAAGAGACGCCCTTCTCCTTCTTCTTCTCGAAGGCCTCTTCATCTTTCATCGCAGCGGACTTGCCGTTCTCATTGGTGTGATATTTGTTATCCTGCTTGGCGGAATCGGCCACTGTGTCTGGTAGGGGGCATGCGCTTCGTTTCTTCAGGACAATCGGCTTGTCGCCGTACTTCGGATCAAGTGGAACGAGGTATCCCCAGACGCCTTCGCGAATTTCGTCTTCGATGTCGTCGGAGATGGCAGGGTGGCGATCAACGAACTGACTGAGCGGCTGAGTGTCTTGAGGTGGTGACGATAACGCTTGGCCTTGAGAATATGTGTCCTCAGTCTTCTTGGGGGTCATCTCGTGTTGCTTCTGTCCCGGGGGGGTCGCGGTTGGCTCTTTGTTGAGCTCGTTGGAGTCATCGGTAAGATGTGTGAGAGGTGATGGCAGATGCTGCTTGTTGACAATCGGGGTCTTGTCTGGATCAGCCTCGAGGCGCTCAGCTCGGCGAGGTTTCTTGGTCTCAGTCTCATCGTCTGGCAACGAGCCCTGCGATGCGAAGCAAGTTAGTAACGGTAGGCGATAGATGGCGCGACACGAGATGGAACGACAGGCGCAAGAAGAGTTCCGAGAACGCCGACATTTTGCCCACCAACAGAATAGAACGTGAATCTTTTCTTCAGAAACGCCAAAGAGAAGGGAATGGACTAACGCGCGGGCGCTTCAATTGGCTCTTCTCGGGTTGCGGAGCCATGGCGAGGGCCAGGAAGGGTGAGTATTTGTGCGTGAAGCCAAGCCAAGGAGGAGCCGGGTGAAATGGTTCACGATGAGGTGGTACAAGTCTTCAACCAGGAATAAAAGATGCCGGTCAGTGGGGGGCTATGGATGAACAGTGATGCCTTGAGTGAGGGTAAGGATATGTAAGAAAAAGATTATGGACAGGAGGAAGTTGGAAGCGAACCAGGGCGTGAATTGAGCCTGGACCAAGAAAAGGTTATGGTGGTACTCTCTTGACGGGGAGATGGTGGAGGGTGCCTAGAGCTAAGGTAAGCTAAGGTACCTGAGTGCGACAACTGCCTAGAAGTGGTACATTAGCACCTTTTGATTCGATCCGATCCAAGCCACTTCTACTCCTTAGCAGCCCCCGAGTACCTGAGATGCAAGATGCGATGAGTCGGTTCGGGTTCAGTTGAGTCACAGTCGAGCCGAGTCGAGTCTCAGCAGGGCTTGAATCGAAACTGAGCTCCCTCGACAGCAAGTTATAGGTTATTTTATCTGGTCGGAATAGTTCAGTCATGAAGTGCTCACTTGGTCGACGCAGGCGAGAGAGTCACGCTTATGGCCATATTCGCCTCGTGAAATTGTCCATGACAGCATCGGTCGCCTTGTCTCTCACCTGTATTGCAAATGCGTAGGTGGGTCCTCAAACGCCAAAAATCCACTGAAGAATGGATCTCGGCTTGACGTTCCAGTGGAGCGAAGCCTCCTGTACGGAGTAGGTCTCTACTAACTCAGTAAACCCACCGCTATCCGTAGAACTGCTGCAATATGCCTTGCAGGTGGGTCTGAAGCTTTCATCCGATTCCTCCAAGCTGTCAGTGGAGATGACGGGACATAACGGTTTGAAGGTAGGTATGCACATATACCGAGATCGAGATATCAGCCCATGCATGCTTAACCTCCAGATGATCCAATACTGTATCTTCCTTAAGTCAATAGGATAGACACGCAGATATTACGCCCATCCACCCACTGACAACCCCATGGCCCAGTCTCATTACTTCGCATCGTCATCCGCCGGTTTCAAGTCACGTTGTCGGTCAGGATGAGACATTCGCCTGCCCACACGACGCTTGTTCCTAGCCTCGTCCGTCACGAGCGTCATGAAGAGCCACCACGTTCTAACCTGCTCGACCATGGCTTTTAAATAGCACTGCTCTCTATAGGTCACTCTGCAAGTTAAAGTAGTAGATGTAGCAACAGAGTGGGCTTAGAGACCGCCCTGACAGTCGGATCTCTACTGCAGACTTGCATGTACATGTCACGGCATTCTCAGCAGCAAATCTTGGCTTCAAGTGGACATTACCATTATTCAATATCATCAAGCCTATCTCTTTCCATAAAGTAAGCAAAGCTAAGGTAAGCAACAACAATGACAACCTGTCAATAAGGTACCCAATGACCTAGCATGCCCCCCGTAGTGATGCTCTACACGTTCAATGTGCCACTCTCCTTTCTACCGTCAATCCAAAATAGCATATACTTGTGTCTTTCTCCTCTCCCATATTCTTTCCTAAGTGCCCCGGTCTCCAGAATGACTTTCCTATTCGTATGGCATGGACAAAGCCATGA